CTCAAACTTGATTTTGGAATTTATATTTATTCTAATATGTATATAATTATTTCAATCTTGCAGGTTTATATAATTGATGCAAAAAAATTTGAAAGTGAGGCCGTTGCCATAATCATATTACCAAGTAGAGTGCCATATGGATTTCATGGGGCATTTATGTCCTTCAATATACCCTACTAAAAAAGTGTTAAAATCCGAAAAAAAAATCGATGGACTATAGTTTATAACCAATAAAATCCATCGATCCGTTGGTTTTGGCCTTCGTTTTTTGACCTGTTTTTTTTAGTGATAGTATAGTATTCAATATCTTGTGCTTATTGGCTTATTGAATTGTTTCATTTAGCGGTCTCCAATAAATACATGCATGAATAAAATATAATATATGCCAATAAATGTTAGTTTCCTTTATTAATTTTTTTTTTTAATAAAGATCTCATTAGTTTAGGAGTTAATTATTTAGATATACTCTAATTTATAATATTACGAATCTTACTAGACTTTGGTACGCCCAGATTATACGTCCAAATACATGTATTTCGGGATACATGGGTCAAAATTAGGAGTAATTTATTGTAGATACATTGTATCCAATTAAGTAGATTCGCATGTATCTAGGATACATAACAAATGTCTCCCTCACCACTCTCCTATGTATCTGGTGTAATTCACGTGTATCTAGTATGTATCTAATGTGATTCACATGTATCTAGGACACGTGACTATCTCGCTCGCCTCTCTCTCTCTATTTTAGTGTCTCTGGTAGAAAAAATACATATATCTGGGTGTATCTTCCTCAATATATGATAGAAAACTCTTAATTAGTGGTGAGATACGTATTATTTAAAAGTGTCGATAGAATTAGTATATATAGTTTGGATGTATGTCTAATAAGATAGTTTTTCCTTTAAAAAAAATATGGTCAAGTCTCTCTTTCTTTGGCCCATACCACTTGAACTAGATTTATAACCAACTTGTAAATTTTAGGACACGATGGATCATGGCTCGTTTATTAATTACATTCAATTTTATACTCGATTAAATTATTTGAGCAATTTGTCTTATTTGTCACCTCTCTATTGTGAGATATTCGATTTCGATTTTTGAATGGTATTTGTTGTACGCGTTGTTAGTTTGTTACGAAAACAATCGTAAATACTTTACTAATTTCAAGAGTATCATAAAATCAATTGAGAACAATTCAGACTTAATATTAATATTCCTAATACGTAATTCAATATTGATAAATTAAGAAAGTTATAAGACTTAGATCCTTGTATCGTACATGCGAAACACATGGTTACTAAATAATTAATTTGTGTTTACTGAGGACGTTGTTGTTGTTTTTTCTATCATAAATACAGGTGTGCTTGAACTCGATAACATGATCTCTTTTGGTGAGCCCCCACTATGATCGTTAGTGGGTGCCAATTTTTGTGAACCATATAGCATAATATGAACGGTACAAAATAAATGTGCGAGAGGATCGAGAGTGTTCACCCAAACTCTTTCAGCAAAATTTACACGTATATATAAGGTTTTTTTTCTTACTTTTTTTTTTTATGTGAGTCTACTAAGCACAAAACTAAAAGTAGACTCAATGGGTTAGGAAAAGTTCAAAATTCACCAAGAGTTTCCAGGTTTAAATTTTAGGTATTATATTATTATTTTTCGAATCCTGTAAAAATCTTGAATTCGTCATTACTAATGGAACTGTAATTTTTTGTGTAAGAGATTCAAGATGTGTTATATTTTTATTCACCTTTATCTTTGGCTTTTTTTTCAACATATTTCTTCCCTACAATTTTTATACTTATTAGCATATTAATATATGATTTACCTTGCTCTTTTATTTATTATTAATTATGAATCCAAACATCCACTTGTCTTAGCTTGAGTTGGAATATGGCTGCAAGTTATTGTTTCCGGACGAGCATATTAATTAAAGACATTATATATCAATTAATTGAATATTCATTTAATATTTCAAATGCTAGCTTCCCCAATTTTTTTGTAAAAAAATAAATAAATTATAAATTTATGTGATCGTTTGAGTCACTTTTCTTTTTCTCTTTTTAACTAATTTAAATGAGAGAGATAGAGAATGTATGTGTTTAAGGGAAGGGTAAAATGGTCATTGGACATTTTAGTAATTCAATTTTATTTTATTTTTTGAGTTTTTTACTTTCGGTATAAAATTATTTTGCTTCAAATTTCTTCATCTTTGCATCGTTATAATCTTATACAACATAAATAGTACTAAATGTGTCATTAGATTTAATATCGCTATAGGCTTTAGTTACATTTACAAAGAGTGCTAAAATGTAACTGTCAGTAATAATTGTCTCTAAAAAATATATTTATCATTAATTAAGTTATTACAATTAATTAATTATTGCTAAAGATTATTTTTAATATAGTGACTGATAGTGCATTAAATAGTACCATTATAGAGTATTATAGATTTATTAAGAAAAGAGAAATGGATTGTCTTAGTCCTTGCTACAGCCTACACGTATTAATAAAATAATATACGACAAAGTGATTTAATTAGGGAAAACCTATGAGACTTAAATTATAGTACTTCCTATTAATTACTAATGACTTTGAATTATTCTTTCTAAATTATTGTTAAACATCTTTATCTATTCACTAAAACATCTTTACTAATGACTTAAAAATATTTTCCTTGACTTTTTATTCGGTGTTCGGTATCCGTATTAAAGCTCAATTCAGAAGATGAGAATTTCTTTTTTAGCTTAGATTCACGCTGCATGAGGTCCTATTCAGAAAAAGTGTTCCATGTCAAGAATTTTTTTATATCCAAGACTAGAAAAAGAATTTAGAAGAAAATTATTTCAATCTATCTTGTACTTGCATAATTTAAAAATCATACTGCACCACGCATAACTTAAAATCTGCACCACTCCATTGTCATTCCAAGAATTATGTTTTTCTAGACACATACAACCCCATATCAATTAGTCATGTAAACTTTTTGAACAATACTAAAACATGTTTGTAATGAGTAACACAAATTTTGAAAGGAAAACATGTAGCTCAAACACATGATGGATCTAAGATTTTGAAGTTATGGGTGTTCTCTTAGCTTAATAGTGATATGATCAAAATTTTCACTAAAAAAAAGTTAAAAAAACATATAAAAAACATGTTGAGAGTGAGATTCGAACTCAAGCTCAGCAACACTAAAAAGGCTTTAAGCACCAACCATAAGCCGCCCTTCATCTAATATTTTTATGAAAGCGATTTTTAAATTGAATCGGAAGAAATACCTTTTTCTTGAATTGCACCTCTTCATCTCACAATTAATTAGTTGCCTATAAATATAAAAATAATGTTTCAATTCGTTGAAGTTCTTTAATTTTATTTGAATTGCCAACCATTACAAAATAGTGTAATATCTTATCTTGTGAGAAATTAACTCAAAATTTTGGACAATAACAAAGGGGTTAAATTTTTTAAGGAAAGAACACACAATAAATTCAGTGAGAATGGAATCAAATTTTTATTTTTGTATTAATATTTTTTTATATTCATCTTATCTGTTTTTGAAAAACTAAAATTTTCATAATTTTCTATTCCTATAGTTTTAAAAACAAAAGTCTTTATGATTCTCTATTCCAGTTTATTATTCAGTTTGAAGATATAAAGCTTATCTACTTATTATTAAGTCTGAATATTAATGACGAAAGTTTGGCTCTATGCCTAACCTTCACCAAGCTATGATCGACTTTAAATCTCAAAAAATTAAAAGTCAAATAAAACATCTATTAATTGAAAATGAAGTCAAATAAAACATCAATTAATTGGACTTGCTGGCTTATAATTAAGTAAACTTAATAATCTGAAAAATAAGACAGTTAATCATCTATAACACGTTAGTAAACTCTATACATAATTGTGATTAGCGCAATATTTAGTATGATTTTGATAACAACGTATACTGTATATTTGAATTAATCGAGTTTAAAAAGCTATGAAAAGGATCCC